GTTTTATTCATTGTTGCAGGGACAGTAATTAAGTTTTTAGTTTCTAATTACTGAGTGGTTTGCTAGTGGCTATTGAAAGCCAGAGAATATTGCTACTTCTGTCCCATGCAAGGTAGAAATGAATGGCAGGAAATGTTTCAAATGTCGTTTAGGTAGATATGCACCAGGTACCCTGCTAATGTAATCAAATGTAGAGTTAATCTGCCTTTTATGTTTTTGTAAGGAAAGGAGCTTCATCTTGAAATTATAGTTTAAAGAAAAGAGGCATGGATGGGAGACATGGAGGTCATTCAGGCAGCAGCAAGTGAAGCAGAGCAACTCCCATTTGTGCTCAGCCAGATGTTCACGAGCCTTTGCCAACAGCTCAAAAGACTGATGCTATATAAATTACTATATCCCAGGGACTAATTCAATGGGTGTGATGGAAGAGGAAGGGAGGAGGATGGTACCCTGTCGGTCAGAGGTCAGGTGTAACATGTGAGACTGAACCAAGAAATATTCAGCCAGTTCTGCTTCTTCTTTTATTGTGGAATGAAAACATTCGTTTTTCCCAGAGAAGGCAGAAGAAAAGTTAGTACTATAATTAAGAATATAAGGACCAATTATTATTTTCTTTAAAAAGTCCCTTTTCTCATGTAGTCAAAAGAGTTGAATACACAGTGAAATTTGAGCCTCTGACAGTCATCTTTGAAAATATAGAATCCCTTTTGAAAGCTGCTAGTGGTCCAATAAAAGATCTTTAAAGACTTCCTTTCTGAAAAGATACTGATTTCAAACCAAACTGCCTTCCCTCCGTGGCTACCTTTGTACCAAATTCACCTACAGAAATCCATTTTCACTTAGCATAAGTTATTTTTCATGAAAGCAAAAGCAAATAAAAATATAGAGTAGTAAATAATATTTTTCTTTTAGAGCATGAAGCCTTCTCTCAACCAAAGTTCTGCCATTGCAAGAAAATAGGCACTTGTAGGTTGCTGCCTCTCTCATGTGTCTGTCTCTATCACAAGCCCAGTTATTTTGATGCCATGACTCTGGAAAGAAGTACTGAGCTAAGGAAATCTCTTTGTCTTTTAAGGATATATGCCTACCCACTATGATATGGATGATAATTTAACAAATATGACTTTTGTTTCTTGCAAAAAAAAGTAAATAAAACTCAGGCCCTGGTTTTCTATCCGTTTCAAAAGAGTTGACTCTGATTTTGAATGTTTGAGATTTGCAGTGCTGATGCTTTTTAATTTTCTAGGCTGTCCTCCAGTCCACGGGTTAAAAGCAGGGTTTCAGGGATAATAAAGTACCAACTCAGCATCCCAAGCAGTACTGCTTAATCAGTGGGAAGCCCGTGAAGAGTGCAGTTTGCTTTTGTAAAATAAAGAAATAAGCAGTGCCCTCTAGTGTTAGTTAACACAAGAGGGAACCACCAGGAGAATTTTCTGTCATTTTGGTAAATGCAATGAAACCTATTTCACGGCTCCAGATGCACTTCTTTATTTCTTTAAGAAAAGTGGTAGAAAATGACTGCAAATGTCCTACTTATTGGGACATAACTATCAGAAACACCATCATTAATAGGTAGATACAGTCAGATATCACCAACTCCCTGACCTACAAACTCCCTGACCTGTTTTATCTTCTCAAATCTTGAAGTATATGAATGTACTATGTCTCCAGTCTGTACCTAAGCTGGGGAAGGGCAGAAAAGGTGTTTTACCGAAAGGCCAGAGACTTGTGAAGTTTCGGGGAGAGGTGTAGCAGCTCCTGTTCCTGCTTGAAGTTCAGAGATTTGGTTTCTGGCATAAAGCAGTCCTGGTGTACATATTCAAGCTTATCTACACCTTATAACAAAGCAGTGAGCAGATGAGTCTTTTGGACTGTCCTTGGAGCACCTCGTGATAGTAGCAGGCTGGATTCCTGTTTCAAAGCTGTAGGCATCATTTCTTTCTGTTTAAGACAACTCTGCCAGGGATGTACCATGGGAATTAGTCACCTCTCTGCTTTAGCACAAAAGGTTATTTCTAGGTCTGTTTAATAGGGCAACACTTTAAACTGCTCATGTAAAACAACAAACATTGGAAAACATTTGCTATCTGGTGTCAGAATTGTCTACAGCGTAAAAACATAAGCAAATGTGCCTTTTCCTCTCTGTTTTTTCAGAATTTGATTTTCTACCGCAGAAGAGTGTAGAAGTGCTTTCTGCCTTTCAGTTTCTGCTAATGCGTTTTCATAGGCTCGGTTGCAGTCTGGTTCTTTTGGGATAAACCTGAAGATCTGTGGTATTAAAGTTGTTGTTGAAAAATGGGAATTCTGTAAGGCCTTGAGAGCACCTTAGGAAGTGTCCCTGAGCTGTAAATCTGTTGTATGCATTTACTGTTTCCTGAAAAACATCACACACAGTAAAAGTACAGGTTTTTATAAGGGGATCCATGCAGTACGTTGGCTTACAAAGGCTTTCCTGCCCTGGGAGAGGTTCGTCCTGGATTAATGTAGCACAATGTAAGCATGACTCCATCCCACTTTCCTCCTCGATTTATGCTCCATGCATGTTTCTGGTGGCTGCCCACACTGTAAGAAGTGCTAGACTTACGTAGACAGTATATTGCCCATGTGTAAGAATAAAAGGTGAAGAGGTGAGGAACTTGTATATCTGACTGATTCAACAGGATTAGCTCTGCATGAGGAGGGACCTGTGAATGTCTTTGGTAGTAGATGTCAGGTTTGAGATGACTTACCTGGACTGCCACTCCTCAGAAGGGTTTTCAACCCAGCTCAAGCATTTGCCATATGTGCTGCTTTTTGCCATGACTGGTGTCAAACTTGATACTTCCAGTAGTTATTGATTCTTAGCTCTAATGACAGACCCCTTTTTTAGCTGCAGTCAATAACTTTTCCTCTTTGCTACAGACAAGCAGAGCGAGCATTGTTTGTGCTGATTGCCAGGGATGATGTTATGCTCTGTGAAAAGACCAAGGAGAAAAACGTTCATCTTTGTTCCTCTGAGATGTACCAAAACTCTTCACGCACCAATGAAAACAACCAGTGTTATGGTATCATAACAATAGTTTGTTAGGACTTTACCCCAGACTGGGATGATGATTCCTGTTAAAGACCAAGACCAACAGATGGCATTTGTTAGGACATTGATATTTATGTACAAAGTTGCCAGCACTTTAAGAAATGGTGCCTCTCTTAATTAAGATGATAATGCACTGCCTTGTTTGGAGACATTCTGCTCATAATGATGATGGTGAATTATGAATAGAGGAAAATTAGTAATAACAAATGCCAGATGGAGGTATCTTTCAAAAAGGAATATTTTGTGTAATAATGACATGTAAAGTCGACAGGCTGGGTCTTAGAAGATCTTTATTATTCTTTAGGCTTTCCTGACAAAATTATTCTTTATCCTGCCAAGAAATGTAGTTTCACGTGCCAGTGTGTTTTTAAGTGAGAGTAATTAAAGCGTGCCTCTAAGTTTATGGCTTGAAGTGAAGTCTGTTCCTCCAGTGTTTTGTCAGGAATCTATAAAAAGTGCAAGAAAGGAGACGACTTACAACAACAATAGTTTTGCCAATTCTACACATTCTGCCTTTGAAATCAGAGACAATTAGGGATGAACAAAACTATTTTCAAAGTTAAAAAAAAAAAAAAAAGAAGTGTCAGTTTTCCTGAAATTTTACTTCTCATTTTTCCTTTGGTTGAAGATGACTGTTGGGAATAAGAAATGTTTCTCTAAAAATAAACCCCACCTTCTTTGATTGAAGTAAAAAATGATTACTGAGTTAGAAATGTATTGAATACTCAAATATTAGGCCTTTTTTGAAACTTCCTGAGAAAGAGAAATAAAATTTAATTTGGTTTGGTAGTGTAAAGTAGTAATTAAAACAGAAATAGACAGGGGAAAATAAGAGATAAAATGTTGGAGTTTAACAGTTAAATTTTCTTATAAGGATATTTTCACTTCATGGGCATTCCAGCTTTTACCTCAGGACCTGCTGGCCACTGTCCTTTCATGATGATCTGGAGATGAGGCAAAGTGTGTCATGTGAGATGACTGTGAAGATTTGATTTTCCTTTGTAATTGTCCTCAGATTGCATTAGAGTAATAAAATTCAATTTAGGGCTGTAGAAGTGTTGCATAAGGTCTCTTTCTATCAGATATGCTAAGCATAGTAGACTAGGAAGATTTGAAGAGCATACCTTCTACTACATCCCTGCATAGTCACAAATTGCTTCCAAATTTGCAAGGATAAACTTGAGATTCACAGTCCAAGATTTCTTCCAAAGGCACAAACATTGTATCAGAGTTCAGAAAGACAGCAGAGGAGTTGCTTTTGTCTTCTTTAAATTATTTATGTGAGTATGCATTAGTAGGGGAATATATGAAGTAATATATTTCAGTATTGGATGATGAAAAGAAGGCTTCTGCTTCATTTAGAAAAAGATCAAGATCAATTTTCATGAGAATAAAACACTGTTTTGAATTATACTTAGAACAGACTGTCCGACTATTTCTGGTATTAACATTCACTGCTATTGTAGAAAGGATTTAACAATAGAAAGATGAGAACATGAGAAAAGAATGTCTAGAGGGAAGGCAGTCAAGGATGGGATTCAGTGGCTCTAGCTTTGATAACAAAAGCAAGGAGTGCTCTCAGCTGATTTTTTTGAGATTAATTTGGTACTTTCAATAAGCCCTAAATTTTTCTTAATGTAGAAAGAGCAGTATTTCTAAGCGTTTTCAAAAACTCCTGAGAGAATTGTGAATTTACCTGGGAGATGCTATCTGAATTTGTGGACAACTAAACCATGGTTTACACACATATTTTTAACTAAGAAGTCCTGTATGTATATTTTTCAAAAAGCTGATTTCTTTAAGAGCAGTCTTCCTAATGGAAAATGGGTGCTATGACTCTTTTGAAAGCTGTACTACATTTTTGCCATATTGTCAGTTTCTTTTATGCTGAACTTCTTTCTGTTGTCTTTTTTTTTTTTTTTCCCAGAAAAACTTTACAATTCCAGTGGACGGGAACTGAGACGGGCACTTTTTTCCTTGAAACAAATATTTCAGGTGAGCAAATAATGGCTGACTATTCTGGGATTTGAACATGAATTTAATTTCTTTTTTTTTTTTTTTTTTAAATATTGGGAATAACATACTGGAAAAAGGGACTTTTAAGACTTCACTTGTAATGTGCACTTAACCAATTGCTTCTTAGGGCCCTGTTTTTTTATGGTCTACAAACCTTTCCCTGTTCCTTCAGTCTGTCAGAAGGCAGAACCAGGTGTGGCATAATGGCAGAGTGAGTAGCTGAAACCTGCCAGGAAAGGAGAAAAGAAAATTGAAACTCTTAGGTGGAAACTTAGACTGCTTATTAGACAGTGGCATAGTTCTGTATTGGGAAGACTGGAAAGGGAATGTTGGCCTTATAATGGACAAAGTTTAGGTTTAAGTCACATTTAAAAGGGATGTGGGAGACACGACAGATCTGATGAGGAATCAACATGTACTGGGACATCTCTGAAGGTGTTTGAATTTAGACTGAGTTTAGAGAAAAAGATTTATTGACTAGTGATAAGGATACTTCATAGAGCTGAGGAGGACTGATCATTTTCAGGAAAGGCATGGAGGAGATCTGAAATCAGGAGGATATTGGGTCCCATGGGGAAGTAGACAATGTGATAGACAAGCGGTGTGAATAATAAGAAATGTAATTGAAGTAAAAGCTTGGATTTCAGAGTGGTTTTACTGAATAGGAAGGACTTCAGAATGCTTCAGGACTGGAAGGAAACTTGTTGGAGAGAACAGGTCAGGAGAAGTGAAAAAAAAACCCATCTGTGAGAATTAGAGCATAGTACCAGTGTGATTCTAAAATGGAATTCAGTATGACACATTCCATTTCCATCAGTAAATATAAGTGAAATCAATAAGAAGAGCACTTTTTCCCCTTTACTAATGTATCCAAATGGAGGATGACAACCTATAATCCTTTTTTTAGCTACAGGAGGTAGGTGGAAGGATTTCAACCCCTTAGTTTATAATTTTTTGCTTTGTTTTACATAGACATTTATTCTAAGAATACATTTTAAAAGTCTACAAGATTGCAGAATTGCAAATTTTCTAAACACACAGTACTTTTTATAGGTTTCAAAGTTAGTAATTTAGAATTTAGTGAATGCCACAATTAAGATTTTCTGAAGAAAGGGAGTGAATGGTGAAGGGCGGACCATTTAATGCAAAATTTTGGTAGTTGTAGATGCCTTCTAGTTCAGAAAAATGTCCCTGAATTTTGAATTTTTTGGACAAAGAAGGAGTTCCAGTTCCAAAACAGTTTGGTCATCTCATTACCGCAGATTGAGAAAGCCATTGTCTCTTGAAGGCATTCCGAGGGAGAGACTATTTGAGAGTCACAAGAATGCAAGCTGGGTTTCCCTGTGAGCTTGCCAAGCAGGTGGACTGTGTGCTCAGAGGAAATCAGGCAGGTTTCCAAGAGTCTTCTATAGTTTCTTCTCTTTTTGTTCAGCTCAGCTGTTTCTGGGAAATATTTGTATTTCTCTGATTTTATGTATTCCACTGGTTAATCTGGGCACTCACACGTATTTAGAAATAAGTGCTAAGCCTCTCTTCCTACCCATCCTGTACCTCCCATTCCCTCCTATCCTAAGTTCCTCCAGTTTGAGTATTCATAAATGTTCTCTTCCATTTAGGTTATTCGAAGTCGAGTAGGTGTTTCTGAGCTTGTAGTGCTCAGTGCTTTCAGTGAACACACTAATAAAATTTCTCTCTTCCAGCTATCAGCTGGGTTGAAAAGTGGTGAGAGGGAAGGGAAAAGTGATACACACAACTCATATCTGTGTATGAATTTAGTTTTTAAGTGAAACTTGTGTTACAGTTTCAAAGCATGATTTTCCTTGAAGAATTCAACTTGCCTGCATTCTAATGTATGTGGTATGGAAAAGAATTTGGGAATTGTCAGTTACCATCTAAAGTAACTCTTTCTGGTAGAACTGTGGCCATTTGTTGAACAAAGATATTGTTAAAAAATCTTCATATACTCTTGAAGTACAGGTTCTCATTTGTGGCTAATTGAGAGGTCTTCCTCAGGCTGGAGAGCATTCATATAATATGCTCGAGTGTCTGAGGGAGTGAACTTCATTGAAAATGAGACCCTCTAAACCCCTGTTTACCTGCCAGCTACCAACAGTTACCAGCTTTGCTAAGGGCATCCTTTGCATACAATTTCAGTTTATCTCATAATTAACCCTGAGAGAAAGCATAAGATAGTTTTTGTATCTGTTTTAGAAAGAAAAGCTATTTCAATTTTTTAGTGAAGAAAAACACAAGTAAATTTAAGATTATATTATAAACAAAACACCATTGTCCAAAAGGTCATACCTAATTTTTTTTTTTTAAGTCTGTGACATGAATGTATGTCAGTATTGGAAATTTATCATTATGTTAAAAGTTTTTTAAAAATGTATTTTTCAACATAATTTTTTTTTAATTTTTATTTTGGAAGTCATTATGTACAATATTTTAAATTCCTTGAGAGTGTAATATTTTGGAAATAAAATGTTGCCTTAAAAACTGTCCTTATTTTCCTTTGAACAAATTTTCAGAGAGACTTGTATGGAGACTTCATCATGTTTTTAAATGCCAAGACAGTTCATATTTTTTTATAACCGTTTCATTATAGTTGAGTTAATTTGGCACAGTTCTGTGTCAGTATCATTTTTAATTTAAAGACCTTCAAGGTAATGTGCAGTGACTTATTCGCATTAAGTGGGAATAAGCCCAAGTTTTACATGGGCTATGATTTCCAAATAGTCGGAGCTCTTGATTTTTCACGCGAAGCCTCAGCAAAGCTCAGCAATGCTTGGCAAAAGCAATGCCTTTGTTTCAAAATTTAGATGAAAGATCCATTTGGCAAGTCCAAACTTGGAATTTCTCTTTGATTTCTTCTGGTGGGCTGGTTTTGGCAAAACGATAAAAGTTATGTGGAGCATTTTTCTTTGACAGTAATGCCATTCAACTCCTGTCATTCATTTTGAAGGGCTAAGAGATCCACAGTCATCATCTTTTTCTGGATTATACTACAGTGTTCTTCTTCTGGTTTAGTAGTATGCTTTTTGACAAACAAACTTACAAAGTAAGATATAATTGACTACTAGTACAGCTTATCTCCCTTTGAATGTATTATCTGCCAGAATTCTGAGTTGCCTGGTTCTTGTATTTATCAGGGATTCATGATTTTTGTGCGAAGTGCTGAAACTCCCAAAGGCATTGGGCAGAATCCAGCTGAACATGGCACTTACAGAATTAAATTAAATTAGAATTAAACAATGTACTTAATTTCCTGATTATGATATCGTAAGAGAGTTAAAAATGCAGGTGCTTAAAGCATTTATTTCAATATCAATCTTAAAAGCAAATTAATTGAGTACGAGCACAATAATAAATATACATTGGGCTATGTGATCTACGTGATATTAAAAAAGTTGATTTAACATGTCCTGTGACACAACTGGGTGAAATATAAAGCAGTCATATTTTAGAACATACAAACAAGTGCTCCTTGTAGTTACAAAGCATAGTTACAAATCATGTTGATTTCATCATCTCAAAACACGAAATAACTGGGTAAGAATATGGTATTGCAAGAAAAATAAGAAAGCTATAAAACATGTTTCAAGTCTGTTGAAATCTATGATCTTGTGTAAATCCGCTTCTTAAGAGTTCTGGAAAATATTTTTAATCTATCAATACATTAGGTTTTCTGGAAAGCATACCTAAAGTGTGTACTTTAAAGTCTTGAGGAAAAAAGTCAGTTTTCTTTTAGGAGTGTTTTCCCAATTAAATGTCATTTGACAAGTGCAGGAGATCTCCCATTAGTTTTCTCGAGGAGCCTAGATTCCTGTTTTGTGTTGTGATCAGAGTATCAAGGGACACAGTTACAAAATTCTCTTATGGAATTTTCTTCTATTGTTGAGAAATTCATTAATCATTGGACAATTGAGTTTTGTGTAAAATGTCACAAAGAACAGCTATGTAGGGGCCCTGGAGACATTATCTAGAAGGTGTTTGGTTAGACACAATCTTATCAGTGAATGAAATCAAATGTCACACACTTCAGCTGCTAAGGAGTCATCAATCATCCTTAGGAGTGCAGAAAGAGTATTCTGTGTTTGCCTCATTGATCTCAAGGAAGGAGGTTGCTCCTTCCCCTCCTGCAAGCATGACTGATGACTCCTTAGGGTTTGAAGCTGTGTGACACTTGATTTAGGGGCTGCTGTCATCACTTGTGAGGCAGGCTGTCTGCCACCTCTCCCCTTCAAGAGCCCTCTTGGAAGGGTTCTTGATTAAGTCATGAAAAAGAGAGAAACCTTCATTTCTTTCCCAAATCGAATTCACCAGAGTTCTGCCTGGCAGTTTACAGATCTGTCTAATCCTGATTTACAAAGAAGTTGTCTCATTACTGTTTAGAGATTATAAATAAAATAGATATGATACATTAAATGTCAAAATCAGTTTCTTAGTTTCATTGGCAAATAGAGTGCCGTCTAGACAATGTTACAGGCTGAGATCTAAACAGTTCTTAATGGGACTATAAAATGTGAACTACTTCTACCACAACTATAGCCTGAAAACTTGGGAAGCCAATACTCATTCATTATGAATCTTTGAGTTGAAATGGGTAACACTGTTTAGTACTGAGCCCCTATCTAATTGAGCTTCCTCAGGTATGCAATACAGTGCCTGACTGTTGTTTGATCTGTTGCTTATCTGCCATGACAAATATCCCTGGTAGTGTCTGCTCTAGTTGACTTTTCTCATAATTTTTAATTCTTCTATTAACTGGGAGGTAAAACCCACAGTGTGTTGATGCATCCAGTCTGCTAAAAGTGTAAAAGATGAAATTATCCCTATCAGCTCAGTGGCATAAAATGTCAAATAGAAAACAGCTATTATTGTAAGAAATTCCTTTAGTTTCATTAGACAAGCTTACTTCTTTTGTTTGTTTGTTTGTTTGTTTTGTTTTTGGTTTTTGTTTGGTTTTTGGTTTTTTGGGG